CTTCTTTTCCGCCGGGCATAGGAAGTTTAAAACGCTCGCACCTTTTCTTCAATTTATCCACAGTGTCCATGTGCTTAGCATTATCATCCACCATTGGTTTCGCACTCGCAGATTGTCGACTGAGGACTCGGGTTTATTACTTTCCACTTTTAGAGGAATTAAAGAAACCGAGCCACTGTTCTGTATCTCTGAATCTTTATTGGTCTTACTGAAATAAGATGATGAAATCAAGAGATTCCTCTCCTGATGGCTCGTCCACCGTTCAAATTTGGAACGTCCCCTTCTGGAGCTCTATCTGATGCTCTTCGTCTAAGGAAGCTTCTTCTTCTCCATCATAGCGAACATGCTGAAGAGAGTTGAGCCCCTCCACAATTCAATTATCTCCAAGGGGGTCTCGGATTCGGCTAAGGACTTCATGAAGTAGACGATTTCAACTATGCTCGGGCTTCTTCCATCCGATCAGTTTTCTGTCACGGTTAGGACTTCAAAACAGCCCCTCGATCATCTCTGAAGTCTCCTCCATAGTAACTGGGTAATTTCACGATATTGTGTTGCTCAAATCGGCCTTGATTGAAACGACGCCGTTTCGTTTAAAGCTGAAATAAAAGAAAAATGAGCCACGCGTCGGCCCAGAAAGAAGCTACCAAAACTCCCGTTTCTTATATATACTAGGAGCTTGGCGGCTGTGCTATGCACAGCCGGCCCACGGTAGTGTTTAAATTGAGTAAAAACAACTCATGATAAGTAACGGCTTGGCGTATGGCTAAAAAAGGCAGGCGGCGAGCCCAGAACAAACCTCACAAAACTCGGGTTTTCTTATATATATGAGAGGATATATTAATTTAGGTAGATTTGTTTATCACATAGTGTCTTTGCAATATTTTAGAAATCAGTGTATGTAAATTAGCTTTTTCTACACTGCACTTACACGGGGCTTTACGAAACATGAATGCCAGGAGAGCTCCACCGAAAATGATCAATTCAAAAGATGATTTACAAAGTTTTTATGATAGACAGAAATGGAGCATACAATGTCAAGAAACAAAGGTGCATCCATCAAACACTACCGAGTTTCCAGTTCATGAAAATAAGATATTAGCAACATGAGCAAGATACGGGGCATTATAAAGAGACAACACTTTGCTAATGTGTTGTGCTGCTAGAAACAAAACCAGAGACTCTCATTCACTAATTTCACACATAAGGGTAGACTGCCATAGAAAAACTATCATCACGGATGCCGGTACGCTCCAACTCACGCTTCACGAGATCATAAAGCCATAGGTAACCCTCCGAGTCCTGAAGAAATGCTTTATCATCCTTGTACAGGCCGACGACCCTCCTATAAACAACACCAGTATGAGCACGAGGCTGAGTGACTGTGTATGTGGATTTATGGGACCAGATGCCGTTAATCCGTACCCATATCTCAAAAATAAAAGGCGATGCTTCTTCATGCATGTCATCCTTGCGCTCGGGCCATGCTAATCTTCTCTGTAACGTTCCAATTTTATCGGATGTCCCCGAAGGGACAAAAGGCGATGCTTCTTTACCACTGTTATTCTTCTTCTTACTACTTTTATGATAATAAAAAACAATAGCAGCCAGCAACCCATGAAACTCGGCAAGAGTAATAGAGTCAAGCCTGGGGACAATTTCGCTCTCCGGCATACGGATGAGATCACGAGGAAACTCCTCATTAGCAAAGTCGAATGAAATAACACAAAGATCCGTCTTGGTGGGATCCACTGCTAGCCAATAATAAAAGCCATTGACGTGAATGTGATGCGAAGGATGTTGCATCGATTTGAGCTGGGGATCATGGGGAAAAAGAATTTGCTTCCACGAACAAGTTTCGAGCGAGAAGAGCTCCGCGTGAGCTTCGTTTTCGCAACGGAAATGCTTGAACACGCGACATCTGACCACCTTATATTCTCCTGATACAAACCCGATACCGTAACCCCACATGGACGTGAAAATTGGGCAAGGCACGCGTGGCACAGCCTCAAAAAAGGGAAGGGATACGAGCACGTCGGTCCTAGGCTCCCACAGAAGCTCCAGCGGACTTCCTGGATATTGGGTACACATCCACAGCATCCAAGTGGAGCAACTCGCTAGAACGTGATACTTGGCGTACAGACAAATGGGATCGTAGGTTTGCGCTTTGAGTAGAGACAAGTCAGGAAGACTGTTCTCATCTTGTACCACTTTGAACATGTTGTTTTCCGTTGACAATACAAAGTAATTGCGGGTCCACTTGAGTAGACACTGCACCATAAGCATAAGATTATTATTGCTGTTGTTACTACGCTTCAAGTTGCGGCTAACCGGCAGAATAGTACTAGCAACGACGTTACTGGCACTAGACGGGAGATTTATCATCGAGGATTTGAGTTTGGAGTCGGCGTTGACAACATATGGGGTGACATCCAGACCCAACAAGTGAGCATCGATACTGAGCTTCCTCAATTCAGCACTCCCAATGTCGTACAGCAGCAGGTCACCATCGGAGCTCCAAAGAAGCAGTTTATGTGAATTGTAGAGGCCCAATACGCAATCAGCATGGGCTGCAGCGGGGACATACCCTGAGGACACTATAGACCATTTGGGGGCCTTCCACACCCAAAGCTTGAAAATGAAAGGCTTCATTTTAGCAGCAATAGCAAAAATTACAGCAAGAGACCCATCTATCTCAGCAAGAATGGAATCGACATCCTCTTCGAGCTCATCACTCGGGGGCATAGGGATTAGAGCAGGGGTAAACTCCTCCTTAGCAAAGTCGAAGGAAATAATTCCAGTAGGTGTAGCTTGCCAATAATAAACTCCATTGATGTGAAGAGATGGTCGTTGAACAGGTTGATAATAGGGATTATGAGGATACGGAATTTCCTTCCACGAACCACTTGCGAGCGACAACAGCTCGACGTAGATCTTCTCCTTGTGAGTAACATCGTCATCATCGTCTCTGGAGCGACATCTGACCACCTTATACCCTCCCCCTGAAGGATCAAACCCAAATCCGTATGCCCAAATATCCGTCAAACGAGGAGATGCCAAAGAAAAATACGGAAGGGATTTCATCTCGTCGGTTGTGGGGTTCCAGAGGACGTCAAATGTATATTCACGTTGTTTCGCATATCTCAACAGCATCCATGAGTCGCAAGTCGCTAGAACTTCATAATAGGCATTCCTAAGAACGGGATTGTAGTTGTCATCTTTGAGCCGAGACAAGTTTGGAAATGGAAGATGATCATCATCATCTTGCAGCACTTTGAACGAGTTGTTTTTGGTTGAGATTACTAAGCAATCGAGGGTTGCCTTGACATCCTCCTTCAGCACCCAGCCACCGACGGGTGCCCCAAAGTTGGCACGCTGCACCAAAAACATCAAATTGTCGTTGCAGGGAGCGTTGGGGGGCTGACCTTTATCGGCGATTCCCATATCTGCCATTTCCAACAACCAACAGCAGCAGATCCCCTTTTCAAATAATAAATAAACTT